TTTATAAAAGCCAAAAGCTCCATGTATTCTACATTTATATTTTGGGGTGTATCTGTTGAAGATTGCAGTAAAATAAAAATGAGTCATAGAGTCAGAGAGTCATTGGACTGGAAGGGACCTGTAATATCACTAAGTCTGGTTCCCTGCTATAGGCAGGAGGTTAAAGAGCTCAAACTAGCTCAACAAAATGCTCATCCAGCCTCCTCCTGAGCACCTCCAAGGACTGGCGACTGACACACTACCTCTGCTGTTCCAGGTTCTAGTTACCCTTATGGTGAAGTTCTTCCTTATGTACAGCCTAAATCTTCCCTCTATTAGTGTGTGACCATTGGTCCTTGTCCTCTCAAGGGGTACCTTCCTGATGAGTTGCTCATTCAGATCCTCGTGTTCCCCCTGACATATTTGCAGGCAGCTATCACGTCAACTTGCAGCTTCCTCTTATCCAGACTGAACAAGACCAGCTCTCAGAGTCTCTCCAAATAGGGCCTATCTCTAGGCCCCTAATCATGCAGGTGGTCCTTCTCTGCACCCTCTAGAGTTAATCCACATCCTTCTTGAAGTGCAACACCCAAAACTGAGCACAGTACTCCAGTTGTGGCCTCACCAATGCTGAGTAGAGGGAGAAGCACCTCCTTGGATCTGTCAGCAACGCATCGGCTGATGCATGCCAGAGTTTTATTTACCCTGCTGGTGACTTCCTCCCACTGTTGGCTCATATTCATCTTGTGGTCAGTTGCGACTCCCAGGTCCCATTCAGATGCCATGCCAGCCAGTGGGCTACTGCCTATCCTATAGTTGTGGTGAAGGTTCTTCCTACCCAGATGAAGGATGTAGCACTTTTCCCTGCTGAACCTCATCTGATTCTGATCAGCCCATAGAATAAGTCTGTCACGGTCATCCTAGATCTTTACCTTATCCTCTGGTGTGCCTGTATTTCCCCACAGATTGGTATCAGTGGCAAACTTAATCATAGAGCATTCCACCTCCTCATCCAAGTCGTTAATACATATTTTACAAAGCATGGGTCCAAGCACTGATCCCTGTGAAACACCAGTGGAGACAGCCCTCCAGGATGAAGCCATCCCATCAATTACAGCTCTCTGGGACTGGCCTCTAAGTCAGTTATCCACCCACCTCACTGTAGGCTCGTCCAGGCCAGTACCCTCTAGTATGATTGAAAGAATTTCATGGGAGATGGAATCGAAAGCCTTACTGAAATCTAAGTGAATGATGTCTACCTTGTGACCGCTGTCCAGCTGGTTAGTTACCTGGCTGTAAAAGGACACCTGGATTGTCAGGCATGATCTACCCTCCACAAAGCCATGCTGGTTGTCTCCTAATACTCTGTCAGTCACAAGCTTGTGATTGAAAAGATTGTTAAAGAGACCATCAAAAGTTTTTCCAAGGACCTAAGTCAAACTGACTGGTCTGTAGTTTGTAGTCATCCCTCTTCCCTTTCTTAAAGATGGGCACCACATTAGCCCTCTTCCAGTCTTCCGGGACCACCCATGAGTTCCATGACTTTTTGAATATCTTTGCCAAGGGCCCTGCTATGAGTTCAGCCAGTTCTTTCAGGACTCTTGGATGTAGGTCATCTGGCCCAGTGGATTTGAAGATGTCCAATTGTTCTAAGAGGACTCTCACCTTTTTGGAACCAATTTCATGCTGTCTATAGGCTTCCCCATGGTCTCTGGGCCTCCAGATGGATGCACAGCTCCCATTAGCCTTCTGGAATACCCATGTGAAATATTCATTCAGAAGCTCTGCCTTTTTGTGTGGCTCAACTGTGGGCTGTCCCTCCATGTTCAGTAGGGGTCCCACAGTGGAGCTCAATTTTTTCTTGCTCCCCACATACCAGTAGAATGACTTTTCATTGTCCTTTATTTCAGATGCCAGCTTGATCACCGTGCCGGCTTTGTCTAAAACAAAAAAAAAAAAAATCAAAAGCCTATACAAGAAGTCCTCGACTTAAGACATTTATAAACTGACACCCTCTTTCAACCTTCCAACCTGGGTTTTGACTTTACAAAGCTGCATCCAGCTGGTAAGTCTGGTGTGGTGGAAGGGGAATGGTGTAGGGAAGGGAAGGGGTGTAGGGAAGCAGATCAAGGGCCCCGTGGTGAGGGAGGGGCTGCAGCAAGTTGCTCATCTGGCGGCTCCCACTGCTTGTCCAGGAAAGCATGTGGGGGGGAGAGGCATATGCCCCTGGATCTGCACAGGGAGGAGCAGGCAGGGCCCCCAAAACAAACAATTGTGTAGGTTATATTTATAAACAAAAAATATTGATTAAAAATTATGTAGATGTATTATATATATTATTATATACATTTACAGATAGATATGTTTGGATGAATGTTATGTACACATGATCTTTTAGAAGTGTTCCTAATGCAAACAAGCATTGTAAATTTTTTCCTTGTGTTGCATACATTTGGATTAGAAGTGCACCAATACATCAGTCCAATATTGGGATCGGCACTGATATAAAGAAAATTGACCATGTTGGAAATCGGCCTGATATGGCCGATAAACGTGCCCTCACAGGGTGTGTCCAGCAGCAGGAGCCACCCCCCACTTCCCTGTGACATGGAACCAAAAAGCCTGAGTAATAACATGTGTTCAGGAACCTTGTCAGCTCATTTTTGTTGGTCTCTGAGGATGCTTTAATGTTTCTGATCATTTCTCCAATCCTATAGCTGGAGCTATTAAATAGGTAAGCAAAATTATTTGACCAACTATGTAGTTGGGATAACGTTAGACAAGTTTTCAAATACAAAACAACAGCCTGAAGTCGAAAGCCCACCTGACTCAATGGGGCCACAACAGCCTGCAGCCAAAAGCCCGCCTGACTTTATCCCAACTAGTCCAATAAAAGAGCTCAACCTAGAAAATCATGGCTCTTCATACTGAAGTAGTAACATTTTTAAAGGAAAAGACATGCAAAAGGGCAGAAGTCAAAAATCCATTCTTGTAGACTGCGACCTATGCAGAAAGGCCTGTAGTTTGTAGCAAAGCATACATGCCAGTGACATCTCCTGCCTCAAACCCATTTAATTAACACTGCACAGCTCAAAGTTAGCACCATGTATGTCTCAGCCTTGCATGGGATGCCAACTGGCTCATTTGGGTGCCAGTTCTCCCTCCCCTCCTCCTCCTCCTCTCCCACAACCCCTTCCAAGGTCAACCCTGTCACTCCAAGCTCTGAACAAACATAAATCACACCAGCGCTAACAACACTGTCCTGTTCCCAGACGCATGGTTCCCAAATCATTTTTCTTGAAAGATTATACATCAGTCTTTTGCAGGCAGGAGTTGGTGAAACTCCTGCTTGGCATCTTTCTCTTCAGTAAACAAAAAGATGAAGACCATGTAGAAAATGAGCTATCACATTCTCCACGTGGTAAAAAGATGATCACCTGTGGCTGCAAAATGTAAAACCATATGAAGAGAATCTGTTTTCTAAATCACGAAATAAAACAGTGCAACTGCTGAGACAAGCCCCATTTGGTATGAAGCCATAGGCTGCTCTGCTCTGGGAAACCCGGCAGGCAGTAGGGGCTGCTGTGCTTGGTGCTGCCAGGACCCCCACGAGAGACAGCACCGGGCTCCAAGCTGAGTCAAAGATACCCCACAACCGCTCTCCTTGGGGATGGGGCGGGGCAGACCCGGTGGTTCACGCCTGAATGAAGCCATTGCCCACACGTTATCAGCACTTCCCCCCAGCCCTGGGAGCCATTAGAAGGATGAGTAATGGCCAGGCTGAGGCAGTGTTGCCAAACATATGATAATTACCATGTTTGTACAATAATTTAAATCTTTGTATAATGTACAATTGACAGTAGAAGTGTTCAAAACGTACAATATTTTTTGAGGCAGCTAAGTAATGCAGCATATGCAAAACCCAAGTCGCTCTCAGGTAGTCTCAACTGACTTTCAGGTTCGCTGTTAACACTTTTCTATGACTGCTTGCCTTGACATATATATTTTTCTATTAATGTATTTTGTGTTGCAGGTCAAATCAGTTCCAAAACATATCAACTGAGCAGAACTCAAATCATTCCAAAAACGATATCAATTGAGCAGGCAGAATTCAATCATTCTAAACACCATGTAGGGGGCTGCAACTGACAGCATCCTCTATCCCAGGCTCTCACTCTGGGACTTCAGATGCTTCCAAATCCATTGGCAGACATCCTAGGTGCAGGCCCAAGCCTGGAGGTCTTGGGATATGGATACCCCCACTTGATCTTAGCCCACAAGAGGCTGAAAAGCAGTAGTCTTAACTGACTTTGGGAGGGGTGCAGGGTTTGGGTGGGGGGGGAATTTTAAAGGAAAATCGTGTCCCCCAAGTCAAATCAGCCAAATCAATTCCAAAGCCATGAGTCATTCAAGAACCAAATGAAGCCCTGCTACCAGCAAACATCTTCCACCCCCACCTGGGGCTTCAGATGATTCCAAATTATTTGGTGGGCATCCTACATGCAAGCCCAAGCCTAAACCCAGAGGCTTGGGCTTTGGATGCCCCCAAGTTTCACCTGCCCTCAACTGTATGGCCACAGGGGCAAACTAGGGAGGAGTCTTCCATTTCCATGAAGTCAGCATAATGCGGAGATCTTCCCACTGGAAGGAAGTGAAAGTGGGAGGGTAAGCGTGTATTACCTTGGTCAGGGTAATGCCCCTTGCCAAGAAAATGGTTTTCCCCTGCAAGTAGGAAAACCACCTTAGTGGTCATGGTTTTTCTCCTACCAGGTAAGTATGGGTTTGCTGTCAGCACTTTCTTATGACTGCTGGCCTCGCAACAAGAAAAGCTTCAACTTATATCCACTTATCACTCCCTCACTGGAAGCTTACAACGAGCAATACCAAGTGAAGGAAAAGACTAATCTGCATACATATTTGCACGTTTCAAGCGTAGTTTTTCAGCAAGCACGATAATTTCGAGCTTTCAATACGATAATCTCCTGTTTCAGACCCGGCGAGGCCGGAGCAGCGGCGCTTACCGGGCGGTGCTGAGCAGCGGGTGCTTGGTGCCCACCAGCTTGCGGACCTGCAGCGCGACGTTGCTGAGCTCGTCGCTAAGGAGACAACGCAGGCTGAGGAAGGAGGTGGGGTAGCCCACCAGCTTCTCGGCCTCCGACACCACTTTGCTCCAGGACGCGGCCGAGCCCGGCCTCGACAGCAGCCCCCGCCTCCCCGCCACGG